TTTTAGTGTGAAGTTTCTTCGAAACTTCACAGTATTGTGATGACTGGGAGGAAATTCAAACTTATCAGTCAGTCAGTCATTCAGTCAGTCAGTCATACAGTAAACTTTCCGGGGGGTGTATACGATTTATGTTCGTAGTGATTTATTGTGCTTTGTCAGTACTTTGAAGGTTATTTAAGCAATTTCAGTTAACTTATTTACATATTCTGTTATCCTTTTGCCAAGTTCACAAAAATTTTGAGGAATCGCTTTTGTTATTGTATTTTTTTGTAAATTTTAGAACATTCGCTTCTCATGTTGTGTAAAGGATTTTTACCCCGGAACACCCGATTGTTTTTTAGTAGCGCAAATGCGCATGCGCTATCAAGCCGTAGATCACGATGGCGTGACGATATGCTAGGAAGGAGTGACAGTGTTGTTTTCAGATGTATAAACATTTCAGACGTGAATATTGAGCAAATTTTTGAAAATCTACGCAATATATAAATTGATCTTATGCATTACGGGCGTTCAATTAAGTGTCGATAATATTTAGACGGTATATTCATTATACAGAGCTAGGAAGGAGCTAGACCGCCTAGACAGTGCAGTCAAGTGTATAAACATTTCAGACGTAAATATTGAGTCGAATATCTTGATTCTAGGCATTCATTTGAGTGCCGATATTATTTTCACGGTATTCTCATTATACAGAGGTACAGTACGTAGGCAGAAGCGAGACAGTGTTGTTTTCAAGTATATAAAGATTTCAGACGTGAATATTGAGTAAATTTTTGAGAATCTACACAATATATAAATTGATCTTTGCATTACGGGCGTTCAATTTAATAAGTGCCGATAATATTTAGACGGTAAATTCATTATACAGACCTAGGAAGGAGCTAGACCGCCTAGACAGTGCAGTTAAGTGTATAAACATTTCAGACGTAAATATTGAGTCGAAAATGTTGCTTCTAGGCATTCAATTGAGTGCCGATATTATTTTTTCACGGCATACTCATTATACAGAGGTACAGTACGTGCAGGCAGAAGCGAGACAGTGTTGTTTTCAAGTATATAAACATTTCAGACATGAATATTGAGAAAATCTTTGAGATTCTACGCAATAATATAATATATAAATTGATGTTATAATTACCGGCATTCAATTAAGTGCCAATCGATATTATTTAGACCACCGTGTATTCATTATACATTGTCATTGACTGTATAAGGTGCTACATCACAGAACTCAGTACAAAGAGCGAAAAATTGCATCAGATCTGCATCAGATCAATAAAGCGTAAACAACTATTAAACAGAAGCGGGTGTTTGTACAGGCGTTTACGAAGAAAATATTGCGAGACGAAAGAAATCAGTTGAGTCAGAGCCCCTTATTTAAATAAGAAAGACGAGGAGATAGCCAATGTGTTATCGCCAACGTGTTATCGCCAATCGCTTGGCTCGCCAACAAGATTTATGCAATGGAAGAAAAAAGCAAGGAGGTACATGTAGCCAACATGTACTGTCACGGACCTTGTTTACTGTCTAGCACAACGCCGTTGTCAACGGTGCAAACTCGTGTTCAGTGCAACGATAACTCTACCAGATCTTACGAGAATCAATCTGTAGTATTCTGTACACAGAACTGTATCAAAGCTTGTCAAAACTGCTTTAAACACTGCAGCTATAACTGTGAAACTATCGAAATCTAAAGTGACATTATTCAACACATGCGAAAAGCTGAAAATAGACACAACGTAACCTTCGAAAAGTCAAAGGTCAATGAGACTTGTTATTGTGAAACATATCACAATTAGGTTAAAATGCGGAAGCGGATGGAGCGGATCCACGGAACGGATATGCGGATAAAATACGGAACGGATGAAGATAAAATGCTTCCTTTCAATGATATAACGACGTAGTGCTTATTATTCATAATATATCGTATACAGCTATTTCAGTTATAGTTTTAGATAAGTTTAGCATAGCAGTAGCCTCGTGGGGATGCTTTTAGCGACAGCTGCAAATGCAAATGCAAATGCAAATGCAAATGAAAATTTAGAATATGCAAAATTTGGTTGTTGGTGAAACAATTAAAATTTAGCATGCGTGTAGCATCACAATAAATAGATAAATTGTGTCAGTTTCACAAGGCACGTTTCTGATGTGTTAGGCTTGTTTCAAATGTCACGCTACTCGTGTGCCGAGCGCATTAAAAGCAATAGATAATAAGATGAAATGCCTTTGGTAATTGTTTATTTCGTAGTGTAAGCCATCGATCAGCTTTTCTAGGTTGTCAGCGAACCTATATAGTTCTTGCAGTGTCTTTTTCAATTTGAAACTTCACACTATCCTTGGATTCCTAGTTACTCTTTGAGGAGTAAAAACAACTCTACTTATGGAGTAAAATTTACTCCAAAAATGGAGTCGTTCTGTACCTTTTTTATTTACTCCACTTTTGGAGTCATTTTGACTCCTCGAAATTAACAGTGTTTTCGTACGTGTGAAATAGAGTACAAGAAACCTATTTCAGTATAAGTTAAATATGGCAGAACTAAACGAGGTAAATACCGCGAGAAGTTTCACAACATATCAAGTGACACCTCCGTCAAAATTTAGCTTTAAATCCTCGGAGTGGACCCGATGGATTCGTCGCTTTGAGCGATTCAGAATTGCGACAGAACTCGACAAGAAAGAGGAAGCCAAACAAGTCAACGCGCTTATATATACTATGGCCGACGAGGCAGATGACATAATAACATCGTTTGGTCTCAGCGAACAAGAAATGAAAAGCTATGAAACAGTTCGAGACAAGTTTGAAAATCACTTCATCGCGAAACGAAACGTTATTTTCGAAAGAGCAAAGCTCAACGTTCGAATTCAAGACGAAAACGAACCTGTCGAAAGTTTTATTACCGACCTGCATTGTCTTGCTAAGTATTGCGAATTTGGCGTATTAAAGATCAGCTAATAAGAGATCGCATCGTCGTCGGACTGAGAAATAAAAAGTTGTCTGAGAAATTACAATTAGATCCAGATCAAGAAACAACAAAACATTATTCATGGACAAAAATCGACCGGAAGAAGCGAGCATAATATTGACAACATTTCTAAGAATAGAAAACAACCCTCGCGGGATTCGCGCGAAAAAAAATTTAACGACAGAAAATGCGGCAAAATGGACGGCAAACCCAAATGTACGCGGTGTCTCGGACCAGCGCACTCCAGGCAATTCTGCCCAGCAAGTGAGTCCATCTGTAATAACTGTTCAAAAAAAAGAACATTGGGCAAAAGCATGTCGAAGCCAAGCAAGCCAACAACTTCGCAAGAAACAAGTTAACGAACTAACTTCCCGCCAAGAAACCGAGGAGGAAAGTTCGTCTGAGGAAGATGTCTACTTTTTGGGCGAAGTCGTACACCTTGATACTATCAATAAATCTGGCCATAAACCGTGGACTGCAGACAAAAAGGTAAACGAAACAAATATTTTATTCAAAATCTACAGCGGCGCTGACGTCACAGTGATACCTTTAACAGTGTGTCAACATCGAAAACTACAGTCAACACTCAAGTCGACTGGCAAAGTTCTTATGGGCCTGTGCAATTACAAAATCTTTACCCCGGAACACCCGATTTTTTTTTAGTAGCGCAAATGCGCATGCGCTATCAAGCCGTAGATCACGATGGCGTGACGATATGCTAGGAAGGAGTGACAGTAGGGTCATTTATACGAGACAAAATAAGACGCGACTTACATAAGACGCGACTTAAATAAGCGGAGTTATCGTATAAATGGTTCTCTAGGGCTTTATTCTTATTTACTTGCTATAGCTATAATGTTGTTTCGGTTGTTTTTTTTTTTTAACATGCAAGGCTAATAATTTTACGTTGTTTCAAGTTTCTGGCATACTGGCAAGGTTCTTATGGGCCTGTGCAATTACAAAATGAACTGTGTAGGAACATTCACTTCACAGCTGCGACACGAGGACAAGACAACTACAGAAGAAATATTCGTCGTTAAAGGACTCGAAAGATCATTATTAGTAAGACAAGCAGCCCAGTCTGAATTTACTCAACTGTGTCGACGCTCTAAACAGCAACGAAATGAAAGAAAGCGTCAAAGAAAAGTATCCCAATATTTTCACTGGTCTTGGACAAATTAAAGACCAAGAGTATGATCATATTAAAATCACGCACGAAGCAACACCTTTTGCAATTACGGTTCCACGACAAGTTCCGATACCACTTCGAAAAAAATCCGAACGGGAATTACAAAGAATGAAACGCAACGGAGTAATATCTCAAGTTGAAAATCCAACCGAATGGTGCACCCCGATGGTTGTAACGCCGAAAAACAATGGAAAAGTTCGAGTATGCGTAGATCTCACAAAGCTTAATCAGTTCGTGCAACGTGAAAACCATCCCCTACCAACAACCAACAACCGACACGACATTTGCAAACCTTGCTGGAGCTCGGTATTTCACAAAGTTAGACGCCAACTCTGGATTTTGGCAAATCAAACTCTCGGAAAGATCAAAACCTTTAACAACGTTCATAACACCCTGGGGACGGTACTGTTTGAACGTTTTTCCTTTCGGAATAAGTTCAGGGTCTGAAAAGTTTCAGAAATGTATGTGCCAAATTCTCGAAGGTTTGTATGGCGTCGAATGCAACATCGATGATGTTCTAGTTCACGGTGCAACACAAGAAGAACACGACCGAAGATTGGAAGCGGTTCTCCAGCGACTCGGTAATGCCAACGTCACGCTAAATGCCGAAAAGTGTGTTTTTAACGTCTCGAGTGTGAAATTCCTAGGTCAGATCGTGGGAGCTGATGGCATCAAACCCGATCCAGAGAAAATACAAGCGATTCGCGAAATGCCACACCCAACCAACCTACATGAAGTCCGTTCCTTTCTTGGAATGGTAAACCAATTTAGCAAATTTACCACCAATCTTGCTGATCTGACAAAGCCCATCCGAGAACTGCTAGTTAAGAACACTGCGTGGACATGGGGACCACCACAACAAGACGCTTTTGACAAAATCAAGAAAGCCCTGACATCAGCACCGACACTAACCTTGTACGACCCCAACAAAGCAACCAAAATAGCAGCCGACGCATCATCATACGGCCTTGGAGCGGTGGTGCTGCAAGAAGAAGGACCAGACACCTGGAAACCTGTATCATTCATTTCAAGATCGATGACAACAACCGAGGCTAGGTATGCCCAGATAGAGAAAGAAGCTCTAGCGGTAACTTGGGCATGTGAACGGTCAAGCAATTACATAATTGGAAAA